ATCTGTAATGCAATAGATGCATTACACTTCACTATCTGTCTATATGTATATACACAAGTCCCCCCCCCCCCCCCAGCTTCGCCGGATGTTGCCCGAGGAAACTTTGCTTGAGAATATTACACACTAAACAGGATAGCCTATCCTCATAAGACCTGTGTAGATCAAATCTCAAGCCCCCCACCACGTCAAAGATCCAAAGAACGAGTGATGACGTAGCAGCGTGTCGTTTCCCCGCCTTGAAGTAGGGTGTTTGCACCACTATGATTCCGCAGGCTTTTGGCTTATGCATACTTGGTTTTAGTACATTAATCAGCAATCTAAAACAACTCCTTTCTAGAACTCGTCTATATCTTCCTCTTTACCTATTATGTTAATTAAAATTAAATATTATTTCTCTTCATAAATGTATATTCTAAACGACGACCGCTGACGCAAACAGTTAACGACACCGTTGATGACGTCAGTAACGGTGCAACATCATGGTCTTGATTCCAAAAATCGAGTCCGATGCGAAGACTTGTAGTTGTGTTTAATATCTTTGAGGGAGATTATGCAGCATTGAGTTCGTGGGCTGTCTATCACCAACGTGCGTGTCGGAGTCGGATTTCTCAATTTCTCCGAGAGAAACGGTATTTGCACAAACAGGATTGCGCTGTTGCTAAATCCTATTTTTTTTCTTAAATGCGTTTTTTTTTTTTTGTTAAATGCGGTTTTACACGGAGAAAATACCCAGTAATCCGGAGCCTAGAGACCAAATGTAAAAACCCGTAGACTCCGGGTGAAACCCGGAGAGGTGGCAACCCTACTTAAGTCGTTCGGGTATTCGGGTACAACCAGTTAGAGCAAATGTTGACTCCGTATCGTTCGGGTGTGTTAGAGCAGCTTTTAAAGAGTTAACCTTACAAACACTGCCTTGAGAATGGTGCAGGCATGCGCAGTGCGATAAAAAACTGATCTGATAGTTCTTTTATCGTTATCTTTGAAAAACGAATAAATCGTAAATCACTAGGAAAATTATTATAATTTCGTAAAATCTGGTAAAATTTAATTAACAGGAATGTATGTTAATTTTCAGAGCTGAGTGCCAAGTTAGCTAGTAGGATTTTTTCGGAAAATAACCGAATAAAAGCTTAGTACTCATAACTGCGTTAATTCGCATTTTTTTGACATTGCTTCGACAATTTGACGTTTGATACACGCATAAAACGTCAAATTGTCAACGCAATGTCAAAAAAATGCGAATTTTGCAGTTATGAGTACTAGGCTTAAATATGTAAATTTTGAGAAAACCTGATACAGCAGAGTTAGTACACTTTAGATTGGAAAAGAATTCAATTTTCTTTCATCCAATTTTCAACATTTTGAGGGGGCTGAGCTTCAAGTTACCTCCCCAGTAGGATTTTGTCGGAAAATGACCGAATATGGAATAGTTGGGGAGCTGGCGTCAAAAACATGCAAGAGTTTTCGCAAGGCGGATATTTTCAAAATAGGTCGTACTTTAGTGCTAGAATGCTAGTGTACAGTCAGCAGTCACAGTTCCGGGACAGCTGGCTCTGGGACGCGGGCAAAGTTGTAATTTTAAGAAGCATCTAAACTGTTTTCTCAAAGCTCAAAATTTATAGAAATTTTGCACATTATCTGTTTGAAGGTCACAGATAACGTATGTAAATCAGTCGTTGCAAAAAGGGGGTCAGACGTCCTCAAAGTTTTTATTTTATGGCATTTTCTTCGGTGTCCTGTCAAAATATTT